TTTATTTATTCATGAGAGACACAGAGAGAGGCAGAGGGAGAAGCAGGCTCCATGCAGGAAGCCCGATGTGGGACTTGATCCCGGGTCTCTAGGATCACACCCTGGGCTGAAACTGCTGAGCCACCCGGGCTGCCCAATAATTAATTAATTAATTAATTAATTAATTATTTAAATTGTTTTTTAAATGAAAGAGCAGATAAAAATCAAAATATTAAAAAAAAATCAAAATACGGAATGGCTGACGTCACAAAGCGTGATCCTGCCCGGGGACAAGCAGTGGGAAAATAGGAACATAGAGCATTTCAGCCAGTTTGGGGGAGGGTTTGGCCCTGGCTCGTAGAGCCGCAATCCGCGCGCGTGCCCCAGGGAAACGTGAATGCCGATGCTCACGGCAGCACCGTTGGTAAAGCAAACCCTGGATCCCGAAAATAACCTGGATCCTGAAACAGGTAGAACGGAGAACTAAACCGTGGTCAGGGCGCCCGGTGGATAAAACGATCGCCAAAAAATGAAGCCCAGCTCAGGGACAAGGGGGACCCGGGCTCGGCGGCAAAGCCATGGAGAAAAGCACGTGATGGTCATAATAAAAGTCAGACAGCAGCAGTACCTGCTGGCAGAGGGAGGGCTTGTGAATGACACGGAAACTTCTGGAATCCTGGCCGTGGTCTATTTCTCTGTCTGAGGAGCAATGACACGGGAGTTCATTCCATATGCATATTTATTTGTAAAACTGCAAATAGACCTCAGGCGCTTTTCCGTGTTGTGTTGCAGGAGATCTCAAAACTTTTTTAAAAGCACAAGGGGAGCGGAGCACCCACGGCGCCGGGCACTGGGCACTGGCTGTGCAGACGGGGCGCCGGTGAAGGTTGCGTGGCTCTCCCTCGGGGTGGACAGCACAGGCTCTCCCAGTGGCCATAACCTCAAGCCCAGCGTGGGTGGTGGGTGCCGCAGAGCCTGCCTGCTGGGCGGTGGAGTGCAGCCCCTTCCCCCTCGCACCCCCCCCCCCCCCGGGTTCTCTCCGGTCTCCTACTGTATCTCTTCCCCCCCCAGAGGGCTCGGCAGCCCTCGCGGTGCTCTGACATCTCCCTCCATGGTGGGGAAGGCGCAGGGTGAGCCGCGGACCTCCTCCTGTCCCCTTCCCGCCACAGCACATGTGGCCTTGACACGGGGCCCAGGGCGCTCTCCTTTGCCACCCCCACCACTACCTCCCAGTCTGGGGAGATTACGGTGCAAACAGCTCTCCCTTGACTCCCAGGCTGCTGGGCCTGGACTCAGGCCAGCGCCCTATGGATCCTGCGGGCTCGGGGCCAAGAGGCTGGGATGGGAAGGACATTTCCCCCAACCTGTTTACCAGGACCCAGGGCCGCTATCTCCAGTTCCAATCTGCTGCCTCCCTTTATCTCACTGGGGCCAGCCTCTGGTTCCCAGCAGCAGCCTCCCCGCCACTCACTTCCTGCCAGCGGCCCAGCGTTACAGGAATACGCACGCTCAACTCAGCTCGTGCGTGTGTGAGTGTGTGTGTGAGTGTGCGCCCACACCCCAGAGCCTGCACCTGGAGGGGGGCCAGCGAGCCCGGGGGTGCTGAGAAAGCGGCCACCCCAGAACTCATGTCATGCTCCCCGCCAAGCCTGCCCGGTGTCCTCCCTCTGTGCGGGGGAGCGGCAACTAGATATCTCAAGAAGGTCAGGGAAGGGGCTGCCTTGGGGACCCCCCGGAGAGTCTGCAGCAGAGACCAAGGTGGGAGCAGTGTCTGTTCCTCATCCACTCCGGGCTTCCTCTTGCACCGGGACCCAGGGCCCTCCATGGTCAGAGCTCCTGACACGGCTCCTGGTCTCCCAAGGACAGTCCCCTCTGTCCCGGGTTGGGGTGCACCGGGGTTGGGGGCAGTTGATCCATGTTGTCAGTGGTTCAGCTGTTATTATCGTGGGCCAGCCCCGGGCTGGGCATACAGGACATTCCAAAGGCCAAGAGGATCCTGGCTCTGGCCCGCGGGCAAGGAGAAGAGATGACACTGACACCCCAGAAGGCGGGCCACCTCCCTCCCCTGCTCGGGCTGGGGTCAGGGGGGCTTCCTGGAAGAAGGAACATTTCAGCTGAGACCCAAAGACTGAGAAGGTGATAAACCAAGGACATGTGCAGATGGTTGGGGGGTTTCCGGGCAGAAGGAACACAGGTGCAAGGACCTGGGGGTGAGATAGAGTCCAGTGCATTCGGGGAACACAAGTGCTGCCATCCGGCTGCCCTGCGGTGACAGGGAGGAGACAGTGACAGAGGCCGGGTGGGGGGGTGGGGCCGGCCTGCCTGCTGGCTGAAGACTGCTGAGCCTCCTCCCCTTGCCCTTCGACCTCCAGGGAGGGCAGCAGCTCGGCATAGGGGCTGGACTCTGCTCTGAGACTGGGGGGCTTTGCTCAGTAACCTGGGGAGGTGGGGAGGGGGCTGCTTGGGGGCCTCTGGCTTCTCATCCCCAGCCGGGAGCTGTGACCCAGTCCCAGCCTGCCAACAGGATGACTCAGACGGCAGCTGCAGCCCAGGACACACACGGGCACAGGCGCACAGACCTGCATATATACACACATAGGCACACACATGCATGGGCACCCTACCCCGCACCCCACCCCCCACACTCACATGTGTACCACCAACACACAGTCACACGTGCACGTATACACACATGGGCACTGCACATGCAGACAATGCTTACACATATGTGCACACGGATACGTGTGAGCACACGGACACAGACACATCTATACATGTGAGCACACGGACATGGACACGTATATACATGTGAGCACATGAACACCCGGCTACATGTATACATGTGTGCACAGACACACAAGAGCCTAGACAACCCCCCGAGACTGAGGCTTGGGCAGAGGGTCTCCCCCAGGACAAGGCCTGAGAAACATGCGGCATTGCTGCGGGCAGGGCCCACCTCTCCTGCTCCGTCCACCACCAGGCGGAGGCGGGGCTCGGACCAGGTAGGAGGCGACAAGCAGCACCTCACAGGTAGAAGGAACCTCTGCTGGGACCCACCTTCCCCTGGAAAGAGGCCAGCTCTCTGGGGACACAGCTCTGTGATGGGAATCAACACCAGCTGTGTCACTTTGGTGGCATCTGGGATGGCCCTAGGCCCCCTGCCTGGTCCTCCTCCCCCGAGGGAGGCTGTGGGTGGCTAGGCAGGCACACTGTGAAGTGCCCGCAAGCAGAAGGCCCGTCTCCTGTTCTGCCCTGGCTGGGATGCGCCTGGGAATCCAGCTGTTTGCCCCCTTAGTCCTGGTCATCCCAAGAACCATCCTTACTGCCCCAACCCCTCCCTTCCTGTCCATGGAGGCCTCTGTCCCCCACCCCCACTTCCCAGCAGAAGAGCTGGAGCCAGACTCTGAGATAAGGGGCTTGTTTTCCAAGGGCCGGAATTCAGTGCAGATTGCAGATCGTGGGTCAGGGCCAGAGGGGCACTGGGGTGGGGGAGTGCCTTTCCTTTCCATGGGGGTCCTTGGGGCCACAGGTCCTGCAGGCGCTTGTGATTTCTGCCCTTCCAAGATGCCCGCACTAGGCAGGGGGTAGACGCAGAGGGTGCCAGGGTAGTTGCCCTGACCCGGGATGTGGCCGTGGACTCCATCTCCAGCCCTGCTCACTTCCCTGCTGGGCTGGCTTCTCTCGAGACCTCAGATGCTCCAGCTCCCTCCTACCCGAGCCTCTGCCTTATGTGCCGCCTTCCTCTGATTAGCGGCCTGCTCTCTTCGAACCTCGAACCTCGGCCCAATCACTGCTTCCTCCAGGAAGCCTGGCCTGCTGCCTCCCGCTGCTGACATGTACCTCTTCCCAGCGCTCCCCTCCCTGGCAGCATCCCGACCCCCCTGAGGACCTGAGCTCCTTGAGCAGCCTGCCCTTGCTCTCCTTTATCCCCACACCCGGTTTGGACCTGGTGGATGGCTGATGATGGTGTCGGTGACCCCCTTGACAAGAGGCGGCCCTGACCAGAGCTGCAGCCGCCTCTTCTGGTGAACCTGGGGCCCTCTGGGACCAACGTCCTCCTGTGGGGGACAGACATCTGTGGCCACGCTCCAGGAAGGGGAGCCGCCAAGTGCGGCTGGACCCTCTGGGGAGGCCTGTCCTCCCTGCGAGAGGGAAGGTCACCCCGCAGAAGGACCAGTCTGGGCCGAGTCACCATGCACCCCGTGGTGGCAGCGACACCAAGGCCGAGGGCCCCGGGCTGAGACCCGGAAGGATGATCTCAGGAGCAGCAGGAGGAGGAGGAGGAGGACTTCCCCACGCCGGCAGCAGGGTCGGCGCCCACACAGCGAGGGCGGGAGGCCCATTCTGCAGGAGACGCAGGCAGAGGGGTTACAAGGCTTGTCCAAAGCTGCCCGCCTGCTGAGCGAGGGCTTGAATCAACCCCAGCCCACCCCTCCAGGACAGGGGGTACGGAGGAGGCGGCTCCCTGTGCACCCCCAGCTCTGCCTCCCTGACACCCCATCGAGTCGGGCGCCGCGTCTATATCCCTCCGCGTGGCGTCTAGACAATGCCCGGCTCACAGCAGGTACTCAACAGACCCGTATTGGAAAAAGCAAATGATGGGACGCCTGCTCATCTAGGGGAGGTGGAGTACAGTGGCTCAGAGCCCGACTCCGAGACAGCCGGTCCGGCCGCCCCTCGCCCAGTGACCATAGGCATTCGCTTGTGCGAGGCTCAGTTTCCCCATCTGTGAAACAGGGACGCAGCCAGCAGCTGGTCTCCTAGAGCCGCCAGGCGGCTTCCCTGCACCACCGTTTGTAGGGTGCCCGGGGAGTTCACGCCTGGCACGCGGCAGGGGGCACAGGAGCGTCCGCTCTATAAGGCTCGCCCGGCCTCGAGCATCACCCTCCCTCTCCCGCACGCGCGGTGCCCACCGCCGCGGAGCCGAACTACAACTCCCAGCATGCCTCGGGGACCCTCCCGCCCCGAGCCTGCGCAGTGCCCGCCGGGACGAGGTCCGAACTACAACTCCCAGCGTGCCGCGGGCACCTCCCCAGGTGAGCGGCGGTGGTCGGTGGTCCAGGTGGGTGCAGTCCCGCCGCGCCGGCCCCGCCGCTCCCGGTCGCGCTCGCCGGGAAGGCTCGGGAGCTGCCCCCGCCATGCTCCGCGGACTGGCCCGGGCCGCGGCCCAGCGCTACGGGCCCCCCCGGCCGCGGGGGTGTGGGAGCGGGGCGGGGGTCCCGGTGCACCTGGTGGACCTGCGCAGCGACACGGTGACCAAGCCCGGGCCGGCCATGAGGCGCGCCATGGCCGAGGCGGTCGTGGGGGACGACGACTACGGCGAGGACCCCACGGTCCGCGGTGAGCGCCGTGTGCGGGCCGAGGCCCGGGCGGGGGCCTGGGGTCGTCGGGGCGCGGCCCGGGGGCGCTGTCCGTGGTGCTGCGGGAGAGCTGGCCCGGGCGCAGGGGAGGCGGCTCCGCCCCGCGGCGCCCCGGGGCCCATCCCCCATCCCCCATCCCCGGACGGGCCGCTAGAAATGCAGATCCCAGGGCCCCGCACTTACACAGCTGCCCGCCAAGGGACGCCCCGTGACCCGGGTGCGCGTTAAGGTGTCGGGCAGCCCGAGCAGGTGGGCACGCCGGGCGAGCGTGGCACCCAAGGCCGCATACGCTGCAGACGCAAGGCAGTATTTGAACCCAGGTCTTCCCTCTAAGACCTGCAGCTCTGGTCGGGCACCTGCAGCCTTTCCACACGAAGACACAGAAAACCGGCCTAGAGAAGGGGGCTTCCCACCTGCTGCACCTCTCAAGGGGTGGGCTCCACCAACCTGGGGAGTGTTTTTAAGACACAGCGACAGCACTCCCGGCCCGGGTTGAGAGTTGCCACCGTGGTGGGCCACGGCTCTTGCGAGGGTGTGTACTACCCTCTGTTGTGCCGGGGACAAGCCACAGGTTGCCACTTGAGCCCCAAGGACCTGTGTGTGGGGTCAGGTGGTGACTGGTGATCACGTATTCTGCAGACACCTACTGCTGCCTGGAACTTCAAAAACGCTGAGCCCACTGCTTAGTAGGCAGCCAGATACACCGTCACCACCATGGGGTGGGGGAAGTGCCAGGGTTGACGTGTATCCACGGAGGGTGCCTGGGGAACGCGGGGTGAGGAGAGGCGTGGGACTCACAGGGAAGGGGGATTTTGCAGAATAGGCTCTTTAAGGGCGAGTGGAGCCCCCAGGCAGGGAAGAGAGCTGGCTCACTGGGTGCTGAAAGGGTGCTTAGGATAGGGAATGTGGCTGGAGTGTGGGGTACTGGGAGCCACCCCTCTCCCCAGAGGTGAAGGCAGAGGGCAAATCCCACTGGCCTTGAATGTCATGCTAAAGACTTCAGACGTGGTACCACAGGTGGAGGGCAGCCACACAGGCTTTAAAGCAGGAGCCAGAGCCCCGCCCCCCCAACCCCCCAGAGTCTTCCCTTCTGTTCTGGGAGAGGAAGTCAGCAGAGAAACCGCACGGCCCCACCTGCAAGGGGCTGATGGGAAAGGAAGTGAGACAGGTGTGAGGTCTGGATGGGAAAGGGGGGTTCAAACCACAGAGTTTCAATGTGGGGGGAGACCAGGGCCCAGGAGGAGGCTGGGTGCAGAAGGTTCACTGAGGGACCTCTGGACCCTGATCTGCGGTCACCAAGGCCACGGTCTGTGCAGCTGGCAGACCAGGGCTTGTCTTGCTAGGCCACTCGCCTACCCCATCAGGACACGGGCTCACGGTTACACGTAACGCAAGGAGGGTGCATTGTGGACGGGTCTCCCTGTACCCTCAACCCTTCCCTCCGCAGAGCTGCAGGAAAAGGCTGCCAAGCTGCTGGGGGTGGAGCGGACCTTGTTTGTGCCTACGAACACCATGGCCAACCTCATCTCTGGTGAGCGCGGCTTGGGGTGACTCCCGGTCGCCCTCCAGGTCCTCCCGCCATGTGTCTTTCCTCGGTGCTGGGGGCCTGAGCCGTCTGGATTTCTGCTGTGCTCAGCCAGGAGGGCCCCTAGCAGGAGAGGAGGGAGGGGGGGAGAGTGTGGTCAGCTTGCCCATGCTCCTCCCAGACTGTGGCCCTGCGCCAGGCAGGCTGCCCTCTCCACGCTGCCCTGTCCCCAGGTTCCAGTGACCACACCCTCCCCTTGCCCCTTATGGCCTGGGGGTCTTGCACTGTCCTTTGTGACTTCCCTACACGCTGCCATACCTTTGTACGTTGTCCCTTTATTAAAGTCTCAGGCTTCCCAGTGTGCACGTGCCCTCTGTTCCCTGCCTGGCCCAACTGACACCCGTGCGCTGAGCTGCGTGGCCCCAAGGGGCAGCATCGTGGCCAGCTTCCCGTGCAGGCGATGCGCAGCAGGTGGGCTGCAGGGCATGGGGTGCAACAACCCACAGGATGGCCAGCCTAGACTTCTGTTGTTAGTGGGACGGTTTTCAGGCACATGTCCCTAAGGTGTCGAAGGGATGCTGTTTCCTAATTGGCATAAGGCACTTGAGAGCTAGTCCCCCCGGGGCTCAGCCCAGGAGCTGAGCGGGACCAGGTGGGCCCCATGGGGCTCAGAGCCAACACTGCCCTCCCTCGTCTATCTCAGTGATGGGTCACTGCCAGCGCAGGGGCTCCCAGCTCCTCCTCGGGCAGGAGTGCCACCTCCACGTCTACGAGCAGGGCGGGGTGGCTCAGGTAAGGACCGGCACCCCTCACCTGGGGCCAGCACAGGCTGCTCAGCATTTCTGGTGGGAACCTGCTTCCCAGGCACCGTGTTGGGACCTGCGGAGGAAAGAAATGGCTGGGGTGGTGGCCTCTCTAAGGAGGCGGGAAGGAGAGCCATTGCCACACTGACCAGGTGGGGGCGGCCGCGGCTTGGGCCTCTGTGTGAACACCGGCGTGCTTGGTGCTCTGCTGCCCCCTCGTGGGCCCCCGGAGCCCAGGGCCGTGGGTGGGGAAGGGCCAGCACCTCCCTCCTCCCTTGCTGGAGTGGCCGTGTCCACACCAGCACAGGGGGAGGGCTCAATGGCCGCAGGACGACCAGACGGGACGGGTAGGAGGTGACGCTGCACCTCTGGACCTGATCCCCGAGCCCCCCCTTCCCCAATATCTGCAGATCGCTGGGGTGCACTCCCACCCCCTCCCAGACCTGCCCCATGGCACCCTGGACCTGGCTGAGCTGGAGAGGATGGTCACACGGGGCCTGGGGAGCCCCTACCACCCTGTCTGTGAGCTCATTTGCCTGGAGAACACCCACAGCAGCTCGGGGGGTCGGGTCCTCCCCCTGGACTACCTACGCCAGGTAGGCCCTACCCCACCCCCAGCCCGCCCCCCCAGCCAGCTCCTGGCTTCCTGTCCTCTGGAGCCAGTCTCCTTGGATCGCATCTCCTGTGACCTGTGCCCACGGCAGCTGGCACTGCTGTGGGAGGGACGTGTGTGCTCCCAGGCTCCAGGTATGTAGGGCACTACTATCGCCCCGGTCTAGGCCCCAGGGACAGACACCCCCCTCCTCCCCTCCCGGGGGAGCGCCAGCTTGTGCGTGGTTCGAGGGCTGCATGCTGTGAGAACGTGCGTGCTAACTCACTCTCCAGACCTACTCCTTGCGGGTGGGAAGGGCTGAGAGCATCCCCTCACGGAGCCATGGGGTGGCTTAAATAGGATGCGGCATCTATGCTCACGCCATGGCAGGCATTTGGCCACAGTGAGCGCACCCACCGTACACCCGAGATAAAACGCTTCTCATCAGCCTGAGTGAAGGTTCCCTTTCACTCAGGACGCACCAGGCCCAGGCAGCAGGAGGGCCTGCTCAGGTCCCAGGTGGCCAGGCTGGTCACTAGCCCGGCTCTGCTCACTCCAGACCCCTCGAGGCTCCTGGGGACCTGTCCTCCCTCAGCTCCTCCCCAAGCCCAGCCCCTCTGACCGGTTGCCTGCACTTTGCCCCCAGGTGCACCACCTGGCCCGGACCTACGGGGTCCGGGTCCACCTGGACGGGGCCCGGCTGATGAATGCTGCGGTGGCTCTGCATGTGTCCCCTGCCCGCATCGTGGAGCACTGTGACTCTGTGTCTCTCTGTTTCTCCAAGGTGGGGAAGCCACTGGCTGCCTCCCGGATATGGGACCGTGGGGGTGCCCGCAGGAGTCAGCCGGGTTCCCCAGCTCCTGTGCTGGCAGCTGCTGGCCCTGGGCCCCTTCAGCACCTCCCCAGACAGGGCCCTGTCCCCTTCCCATCCCCCTCCCGCCAGCCCCAAGGACAGAGAGGCGAACCTGGGGGTGCTGGCAGGCAGGACTCTCTCCTCTCTTCCTCCCAGGGCCTGGGCGCACCTGTGGGGGCCTTGGTTGGGGGGCCCAAGGACTTCATCGAAGGAGCCTGGCGCCTCCGGAAAGCCCTGGGCGGAGGGATGCGCCAGGCCGGGGTGCTGGCGGCAGCCGCCCTAGTAGGACTGGCGGACGCCGAGGAGGTACTGCTGAGAGACCACCAGAACGCTCAGAGATTCGCCAGAGGTACCTGGACCATGCCCCCCATCACCTCCTTTTGCTCCAGAAGAGTGCCTGGGGGTCCCCTGTAGCCGGACCCAGATCCCCGGCAGGTGCACATCCTTCTGACTAGGACGCATAGGTTGCACTGAGCCTGGAGGGCAGCCCTGGGACTAGAAGGGCGGAGGGCCGAGGCCAGCGAGCACTCGCGGGTGTCAGGAATCATTTTCTGCAGGATCTGGAGGGTGGAGCCTCTAACCTGGGTCTCTACGTCTGTTGGTGGGGTCCCGGAACCAGTTCCCTGCCGTCCACCCCACTTTACAGACGAGCATACCAAGGCCCAGAGAGTACCTGACTTGTCCCAGGTCACACAGCTGAGAGAGGATCGAGGGTCCCTCTCTCCCCGCAATGGCGGGGCCGCCCTCTGCTCCTTCCGGGGCGACAGGCCTGGGCGGTGGAGACACTGGTGGGGTCCCGGGCTCGGCCTCCACTCACCGCAGGGCCCGGGCCCAGGGCTCCAGGAGCTGGCGTCCCCCATCTGCTCCGTGGACGTCGCCGCCGTGGAGACGAACGTGGTGATGGTGACGGTGGACGGGCTGGCGCCCGAGGAGCTCTGCCGGCGTCTGCGGGCCGTGAGCGCTGCCGAGGTGGCCCAGACCGGGCGTGCGGTGCGCGTGCTGCTGTTCCCCTGGAGCGAGCGGTCGGTGCGCGCCGTGTGGCACCGCGACGTCTCCGCGCAGGACACCGAGCTGGCGCTGAGGAAGTGGGAGTTCGTGCTGAGGCAGCTGGGGCCCTGAGCGCGGTGAGCGGCCCGTGCCCCTGCCGGCGCCGGGTGGGGGGTGCAGGCGTCCTGAGGGAGCAGGTGGCAGGAGAGGCCGTCTCACACCACCCCGCCACCCCCTTGTCTCCTCCGGGGACCTTTTCTTCCCACACTCGGGGCCAAGCCTTCCAGCAAAGCCCCGGCGGCAGCCAGCGCAGGGCCTCTGCTCCCAGCCCGAGCCATTTGCTCGGAGTCGGGCAGCTAATGAGCGTGTCCCTGCTGGTGCTCGGGACACCGGAGGAAGGGTGACAGGAGCTCACGAGGGGACATCGGGGCCCGATGGTGAGGAGCACTAGCTGCCCGGCCGGGGGCGAGGCCTTATCTTGAAGTCGTCAATATATTTTTCCCTTTTCTAAAAATAAATTGTCTGGCTTTCAAAAGAGTATGTCTCTACTGTAGATAATTTGGGATCGGATCTCGTTTTAAGCAGTTCCCGGGGTCAGGCAGGCCCAGCTGGCCACAGGGAGGGTCTCACCCTCGTGCTCCCGCTCCCCGCTCCCCGCAGAAGCCAAGGTAGGCCTCACAAGCTGAGCACCTGCCCGCAAAGCCGCCCCATCCAGCGTGGAGGGAGGAGCTTGTGTCTGCCGGTGGTCGGGTGGTGGGACAGACACACAGCCGCCTCCCGGTGGACGGACACACACACACACAATCAGCAATGCGCATGTGTTATCCTGAAGACATTTTAAGAGAGAAACAAGGCTTATCTGCGGGTAGCACAAACTGATTTATTTAAGGACACGTTGGCACAATGTTGCTACACGGAACGGTAAACACTAATAAACACTAAAACATAAGTACAAATAAGGTGCGGAGCCCTCAGTGGGGCCCCCCAATGGTGCCAGGGCCCCAAGGAGCTTCCTGTAACCTTTAAGGAATAAAGGGAGGATGAGGGAGGGTAAGACCAAGGCCTGAGGGGCCGCCATCCACCCCCTGCCTACATCCCAGGCTCAGGAAGTCCCTGAACCCCAGGTGGGGCCGTCTGGGACTGCCAGGCCCCTGGGGACCCTTCCCTCTGTCACCTTGACTTCTCTACCTAAGGAAGAATGAGCGAGCCTCGTGATGCGCCGGGGGCCTAGCCTTGGTGGGCCTGCTGCTTGGTCTGCGAGCTGAGCCCCCCACCCGAGCCCTGCACCTCCACTTAGTAGGCCTGCGGCCCGAGCTCCAGGCCTGCCTCTGGCTGTGGGCAGCCCCGGCCCCGCCTGGCTAGAAGCCCCTTCACGGTGCCAGCGTGGCGCGACTCCCCTGCCCCCCCCCCCCGCGCCAGGACTAACGCCCCTGCTGGTTCAGGCACCCACCAGGCCCCCCGCAATCACAGCCATTGCCCAGGGGCTGCAGACGGGAGGGTCGGGGCCCTGGAGTGCCAGCTCAGCAGAAGCCGCAGCCACACCAAGACAAGGACAGGGGTCTGAGAGGTGCATCCAGGCCACTCAGCTGCCCCTGCAAATCCCAGAGGACTCCCAGGCTGCCCCCCATCCTCCTCACCAGCACCCGTCCTGGAGCCAGTGGACCGAAGAGGCCCGGGAGTCCCGCCGGCCCCCTAAGGGCCTCTGGCTCAGCCATTTGCTCCAGGATGGCCCGGGCCTCAGATTCCCCTTCTGTAAAATGGGCGAATGGTAACAAACGTGAAGGGCGACCGCAGGACTGGACAAGCCCATGAGCGGGTGGCACTCGGCTCGGGGCCTAACGCAGTGGGTGCTGCTTGTCTCTCAAACTCCCTCCTCCCCAGGACAGAAGGCAGCTCCTCCACCCGACCCAGGGCCCTAGGAGTGAGGGCGGGGTGACACACGGGGGCACACTCTCGAGGGGCAAGGGGACCCACTGAGCACCCCCCACCCCACTAACATCCCCTTGGGCCACTTGCTAACTCCTCCTGGGACTCTTTTTCCGCAGCTCTAAGAGGAGGCCAAACCAGTTAGTCCCTGAAGGGCACAAACCAGGCAGGGGGCCCCCCAGACACCCGGCTTTGCCAGGAAAGAGGAGCCCGGATCCTTGGCTCTGCTCCCCGGCCCTGCCCCCGCCCCCACGGGGATCCCCTCCCAGCCTGCGGACGCTGCGGAGGCAAAGGGACACCGAGCCCGTCCCCCTGGCCCCTGCCCCTCTGGGGTTCAGACGGCCACCGAGTGGGGGCCGCCCCGCCGCCGGCTCAGGCGGAGGGCGCGGGCTGCTGTGAGCAGAAGGACGCCACTGAGCACCTCCAAGGCGCACGAGCCCCAGGCCAGGGCCAGGGACCAGCCGAAGCTGACGCGGACGTGCTGCACCTGCCGGGGGCCGAACTGGCGGGCGGTCTCGGCGAAGGCCAGGTGTGAGTAGCTGATGTAGACGCTGATGCCCACCAGTGTCAGGGCACCTGGGGGGGGGACCACTTGCCGTGTCTACCTGCTGGGCCCAGTGCCTAACCAGGCCCTGCGGACACGGCCTCGGGGGGCCCTTCCCACCGGCCTGTAGGGGAAATGGAGGCTCTGATTCGGTCCCCAAGCCCCCGGGCCTCACCCCATAAACCCCCTTAGACACAGTACCCCCCACAACCTCAGCCACAGCCCTCACTCGCGTAACTGCCTCTACATACACAGCACCCCGCCGCAGCCCCAGAGTCCCCAACACACGCCCACACAGACGCACGCACATGAGTGCACAGACACGCACATGCACGCGTCCGCACACACATGCAGCCAGTGACCTCTACTGGCAGTCGGGGGGCTCTGGAGCTCTGGCCAGGCCCCCAGTTCTCCCCACTTCATTGGGTTACCCCCTCCCCTCCTCTGGCCCTAGCCTGAGCCCTCTCCCTGCCCCCAGGTCTGAGGTCCGGGCCCTCCTCCCACTCCCATCAGCCCCGTCTGCCCCCAAGGTGGACACTCTCCTCCCTCTGACTCAGGCCTTGCACTGGGGGCTGACAGTGATGGCAGCTGACCCACGCCCAGGGAGTGTCCCCTGCGAGGAGAGACCCTGAGCGAGTGGAGCAGGTGGGGTGTTCGAAGCAGGCCCCTCAGAGGAGGAGTACCCCTGAGCAACTGCCTCCAGCCCCCCCACCCCCCCAGCCCACGCCATGGTTCTGAGAGCATCATGCAAGGCTTCCTGGATACCATCCCACCTCATCACTCCTCTCCGTGGCTTCCCAAGGTCCTTCGTAATTGGATCTGGGCCCACACAGCCCGTCTCTGGGTCAGGCCACAGCTGACACACTGATTCCTCCTGCTTTCGTTCTCAAAAGCACCCACCGGGCTGCTGGTCCCCCACACTCTTGGGACCGGGCAACCCCATCTAGTCCCACTTGACTAAGGCCTCCCCTGGGCCCAGCGTCCCCTGGGGAAGGAGGCAGTCCTGCCCAAGAGGCAGCTGTAAGCCCACGTGGTCTGGGCCTCAAGTGCCATGGCCCGGATGCCAGGCCCGGCTCAGGCCTTGCCCCCGACAGCATAGGCCTCTGAGGACTGAGCCCAAGGACCCCAGCCCGCCATCAGTGACAGCCAGCCTTGGGCAGCAGCGGGTAGCAGCTGGCAGGCAGGGGCAGATGACACCACGAAGCAGTGAAGGGTACCCCAGGACAAGCTTCCTGCTGACCCTGGTGAATCCTTGGACATCTCACCCGGAGGCTGGGACCACAGAGAGGCCCCGGCTGCAGCCCCGAGGGAGTGCCTGGCCAGCGCCCAGCAGGGTCTGGATGGATGTCGGCTGGGAACTGCCACCAGTCACATTCTGGGCCCGGACTAGGGTCCCTGCCAAGGACGGCGAGGCCCCTTTTCACCTGTCTTAATGCCTGGCCCTGCCCACTCTTGCTCCTCCGACTAGGCCTGTCTGGGAAGGAGAGCACAGGTGGGGGCCCGTCTCATGCCCCCCACCCCCACCCCCACGCGGGTCTAGAGAAGCAGGTCCTGGGATTGCCTCGGGAGCCTCATGCCTCCCACGCCTAGATGCTCGACCCTGGGGTTGCTCCCTCCCTGGCTCATAGGCCCACGACCAGGACCCCTACCCTTGCCCAGAGGACCAACCAGGGTGCCTCACCTGCGGCAGCTCAACCCCCGGGGTGGGCACAGGGCACAGGGGGCAGGAGAGGGGGCACCCCCACCCCCAGGCCCTAGGGCCCCCGGGGCACCTACACTCACCTCCCAGCAAGAAGTAGCAGCCGGTGAAGAGAAGCAGCAGGACGCTCTGTGCCAGGGAACTGAAGAGGCCGCAGATCCAGCCACACACCACGAGGACGAGGCTCAGGGGCAGGACCACCATGACAGCTCGGTGCAGGGCTGCCAGGAGAGGGGGCTCAGGGTCCAGGCAGGGGCACGCACCTGCCCCCTCCCCACCCCCAGCCGGGCAGACCCAAGGGCGCCCTTCGGAGCCCCGTGTGCCTGGAGAGCTGCCTTCGCAGGACCTCGCCTGGCGATGAAGGGAGGACAGGGGATGCCCGGGCCGAGGACTCACAGATGAGGTGCCGTACTGAGGTGGGGACATCCAGGTTCTCGCTGGCAAAGGGGTCGATCAGCGGGATGCAGCTGTTTTGCCCTAAGAAATAGAAAGGACACAGAGCCTGGTGGGCTGGACACCTGCGGGGTCACCGCCCGGGGGGAGTTTCTCTGAGACGGGGGACCCGCTGGGCCGCCCGACCGCGCCTCTGCAGCGTGCCCTCGCTCCCCGCCGGAACCCAGTGGGTGACCAGTGGCCACAGAGCCTCGTCCGAGTCTCTCCTGGCCCCCCGAGCTGGGCTCCGGACGGGTGTGGAGGGTTTGTTTCTGTCACGTACTAGTAACACCTACACGGAGGCGGGCGTAAAACCTCAAACATTCCGGAGACGCTGCCCTCAGCGCTCCCGGGGCCCTGAGCTCCCGGTGGCTTTGCCTGGAATGGAAGAGGTGCGTGCAGCGTGCACGGACTCTTGCACACACGGGCACACCCGCACACGTTTGCAGACACACGGGCACACACGTGTACACACCCTCACAGACGCTGCTGCCCCCCCAGGGCTGGTCCCGGGCAGGGGAGCACCCCGCCTGCTGGCCGCCCCAGCACCCAGGCCCCGCGGAGGGAATGCCCTCCTCTCCCTGGACCCGGCAGCCTCTGGGCGGGGCACGCGGCACTCCTGTTTGTGCCCATGCGCTTGTCAAGCCGGCAGGTGGGGGGGGGGGTGGAGAAAACCGGGGTCTTACCCTGAGCCCCGCCTGTGCCAGGCTGAACCCCGAGGGACAGCAATGGAGAAGCAACTTCCCGGTGGCCCCCAGGTCCCCAACCTGCTGCTACCTCAGCACCCACACCCTGCTTGAGGAAGAACAGCAGCCCAGCGCCCTGGGTGGGGGGCCCTGCCCCTGCCTTCCTCCCTCAGGCCTCCACCCCCCCACCCCAGTTTGCATCCTGAGAAGTATCACGTTCTCCCCACCGGACAGCCAATGGCAGGGCCCACGGAGAGCCTGGGGCTGACCTGTCACCTGTCAAGTCCTGTGCCCGCAGCTCTTGACAGGACACCTCCACCGCCCACCAGGGAGGGCAAGGGACTGCCCAGGGCTCCTGCTCCCAGGGCTCCGGGGCCCATGCAGCGCCCCCCATTCCTGAGCGTGCAGCCCGGACGGGGTGGCGGGGGGCCGGAGCCGGGGACCCCTGCACCCTCTGCGCCCCCGCCCGCTGCCGCCTGTACCTTCGCAGACGCGCCAGAGCCCGGAGTGCGAGGACAGCCGCTGCGTGCGGTTGCCGGTGTCCGCCACCTCCAGGACGTACCAGTAGTCGCTGGCCACCGCGGCCACCAGCAGCGCGAAGCTGAGCAGCGCGCCCAGGGCGGCGGCCAGGAGCAGCACACCCAGCCGGGCCATGCGGAGGCTCGCGGAGCGGGGCCCCCAGGGAGTGCAGGGAGGGGGAGCGGAGGATGGGGGAGCCCGGCCAGGGGTGCGCGGGCGGGCAAGCCGTCAGGTTCCGCTCCAAGCCTCTCCTGGACGCGGCGCCCCCTTTTGTGCCTGCGCCGGCCTCGCGGTCCGCCCCCCAGGGTCGCAGGAAGGTCGGTCCCACCTCTCGGCGCCCCAGGGGACAGAGGGAAGCCTCAGAGCCGCAGGTACACCTGCCACAGACCTGCGTTCAAAGCCCAGCGTCCCCGAGGAGCTGGCCGCTCCAGTGCGTCCCCGGCCAGCTGGTGTCTTAATCTCTCCAAACCTCCGGTTTCTCAGCCGCCAAATGGCCAGGCTGAGGAGGAGGAGGGTGGGGCCTGCACCGTGGAGGGGGCTCAGCAGGCAGCTGACCTGGGCCCAGGAAGCCGGGATGGTGGGAGGCAGCCCCCCCCCCCCCCGCCGGGGCTCTTGGCCGCTGGCTGGCCCTGAGGTCCTGGTCTTAATCGGTCTCTAGGACTAACCCAGGGGATCTGGTGCAGGGGATGGGAGGGCGGGGGTGGGTGGGCAGGGGCCTGGAAGGACGAGGTCCTGCTTCCAGCTAGTTTCTAATTACAGATGCCACAGGGGGCGAGGCTGGGCTCCGCTTGTCCATCACCCACTCGGCAAACATGCACAAAGCACCTTCTAGGACATGGGTCAGGCGCGAGTGGGGTGGGAGGCAGAGGATCCTACAAGGGCAGAGCCCAGGCCGAGGCAGTGCCGCACGGCAGAGAGGGGCTGTCCCAGCGGGGCTGTCGGGGCTGTTGGGGCTGTGGCTGAGGGCGACCGGAGGCCTCCTCTCGGGCCCCTGGACCAGGCTGCAGAGTCTGCAGGGACACGGCCCGAGGCTTGAGGTCCACATCATCACAGAAGGCGGCCCTTCTCCGACGGGTCATCCAGCCCCCTTTCCCTGTATCAGGCACTTCTTGGCTTGAGGAATCTAGGCAGGAGAAAGTGGCAGCACAGTCACTGAAACAATCCTTCAGGCGGCCTTCCGAGCCCGTGGCCTGGTTCCGGGTTTCTGCAGCGTCTTCCCACACACTTTGCGCCGTGCCCAAGGTTGGGTTGGGACACGAGCGGGCCCGGGGGCTCCCAACTGTGGCAGCGTGGGTGCCCCCAGTCCCTGCTCGGCCAGCTGGGTGGCAGCCAGGAGTCCCCTCTGGCAGGTGAGAGAATTCCGCAAACATACAGGGCGAGGGGAGTGATGAGGGCGAGGCAGCGGGCTACAGAAGCAGGATGGGAGAGGGCTGGGGATGGAGGGGAGCTGGGAGGCAGGGCAGGGCCCCTGCTGGGAACAGCGGTGGTGGGGGAGGAAGAGGAGTCGTGACCCCAACATTTAGCCACAATGGGACAATAAATACTGCTTTAGGTGGGTCAAAGCCTACCTCTGTGGTTAACGTATGAAGGGAGACGGGGAGAACTAGGGAGCCGCCTTTGGCTGCGGGCTCCACATGCTTCTTCTGAATGACCCCTGCCTTTTGCAGTGGTCTTCTTTGCACCCCCATAGAACTTAAAAAATGGGATTGTGCTGTCGGGGCCAGAGCCCCGCAACCCCACACAGGAAGACACGGATTCCCCTCGCGTTGCAGTGCAGACGGCCAGGTTAGGAGTCTACACCTCATCTGCTTTAAAGAAAAGTGTTGAAAACCCAGTGTGCATTCGGGAGCCACTGATTGGATTGTCCCCTAGGCAGTAGGCACTTGTCCACGAGGGGCTATTTTGATGAATCTGACAGTCTGTTTCCCTAAGATGGACCCAAATTTTGCCCTAGCCTGGCTCTGGAAGAGCGGTCCTTTGGAATGACCCCTATTTTTCATTGGTCATCTTTCTACCATCGACCCACAGTAGAGCTGTCGTCGGTGGCCACTTGGTAAGCCCGTCTCCAGGAGGTCGGGGCCTCTTCAAATTTAGCATCAGATCACTACGACCAAAATCAGGGACAGGAGGGGACTCTGGATGGAGGAAATTCCGATTATTAATGACAAACAGGGATGCACCCAATCCTCTTTTTCTAAAACGTACATTCAGGTATCTATCTCTTCAGGGGCTGCAAGAACAGGATGCTTGACCCCAGGGACCGCAGTGGGGAAGATGAGCCTCCGGCTCCAGGCCGATACGTTTCCTGCCTCCAGCACAGGGCTGAGGAAGCGGCCGAAGCTGCTGGAGAAATCACCGAGCTGTTCAGCATCAGCTACGGCACCGCTAAACTCACTGCCCTGGGCGAACTCCTCCAACGGAAACCGAACCTTGCCAGTTTACCCACACGTCGGTGCACGCAACCAGGCTGCATTATGAAGCGAGTCCACCCTGGTAGACTGGTCAAGATGCTGTTCTAGTCAAAACCTGCCAAGCTCAAGGGTCCTCAGGTGGTGGAGGTCGTAGGCTGGAAGCTTGGGCCTTTCACACGGATGTGGACAGCGGACAGCCTCTGGGGGTTGTAGCGCAGACCACGAGGCACCCACGCACCTGGTTAGTCTCATCCCCGGGCACTGACAGGACCTGGGAAGGGCTCATCACGGCCACCTTGGACTCGCCGGCATCTGTCCACGGAGCCTCTGATGGAGCTTTGCTACAGGTAAACGGGAAGGTGCCGCTGAGGTCTCTGCATCGCAGAACGCACCTAGTCGAGTGTGCACTCCCGCCCCCGGCACCTGGCACATCTGGCAGCCTGCTCCTGGTTCCCGGATGGCTCAGATCTCTCACGCTGCCACTCCTGGAAGAGTTAGTTATCTTCTTCGTGTGTGCATCACACGGCTATTTGTTGGCTGTGGTCTGGAGCCTGAGCTCACTGCAGGAGACTGAGTCCTCCCTGGCCTTGGTTCAAGTTCTGGGTGTAGCCCCAGGCTCACAGTAGGTGCTCAAGCATCTGACTGAACAAGTAGATAGGTGTCACCACCTTGGCCACCAGAGGGAAAGAACCACAGAGAAGCTAGAAGCTAAGGCTCAGTCTGGTTGTTCAGCTGAAAACTGGTTCGAACGCTGTGGGCTGAGCCCACTGGAGAGGAAATCTATGGCGCACTTGGTCCTAAAGGAGCTAGATTCCCCAGGCGAAGGGACAAGAAACCCTTTGTGATGGTAACACTGGTTCCACGAGCTGAGGAGGGCTGCACAATGCAACCCTCTTTTTCAGCTCAGACCTGAGATGTCAAAAGCAAGCACAGACGTTTTACTGCAGTTACAACAGAGCAAACTGGGTGAAGGGTACATGGGGCCCCTTCGTATTATAAGTTCCCATGAATCTTAGTTCAAAATTTAAAAAATGTCCTACTGGGAGGGTCAGTGAAACTCTTGGGGAGGCAGGTTTCAGTTCCTTTGAAGGCCTTTCGGACAAAGCAGTCTAAGAATTGCAATGGGGATGGTTTCAAGATAGCCCTGTCTCTGGAGTCAGGCAGCCGACCCCTGCCACACCAGCAAGGCCGGGCAGCATCATTCATCACGGAGGTCCCATCTCTAGGGGCAGGACACCTGGGTCCAGTCCTCAACCCTAACAGTTCCTAGTTGTACGATCTGGGACAAGCTACTTTGCCTCTTTGCAAATCTCCATTTCTACATGAAAAAAATGTAGATTAAGATCACTTTAAGACTTTGGGCACCTGGTGGCTCAGTGGGTTAAGCACCTGCCTTTGGCACAGGTCATGGTTCTGGGATCAAGTCCCCCATTGGACAACCTGCTCAGTGGGAAGTCTGCTTCTCCCTCTACTCATGCTCACTCTCTGTAAGGAGTAAAATCTTAAAAAAAAAAAAAAATCACTGTAAGACTTTATATGCAATTTTGAGTTACTTTAAGTGTAACCTGCAAAGGGTTGGTCAGTGTCCCAAGGGGGTGCCAACCTGCAGGCAGCGGCACATGGTTCCACTCTTGGCAGGTCACTTTTGGTCGGGCTGGCTCTCTTCATGGTGCTGGGGACAGATGGAGGATTCGGATTCCTGAGGCTGGCCTGCATGGGGTCTAACCTGTACATCATCCTATGTACCTGACAGCCCATAACCACGCATCACAACCCTTTCTAGACTCTCACCAGACTCCAAGAACCTGAAAAGAGGATACACATTTGAAAGAAAACTGAGGCTCTGGCCCTTGGCAAAGGCTTGTGGCTTGATTAATGGAGGTCTATTTAGTGTTCCAAGCAGACAGTCATTAAAGCCCAGTGAGAAATACGGCCTCTAGGAAATACCTCTGTGGAAGGGAAATGTGTAAGATGGGCTGAGGGTCAGCCCCACAGCACAGCCTGACGAAGCCAAGAACCTCATCGCTGCCCATTGTGCAAAGGGCCAGCTTCTCTACAAAGCCAGCTTGTAAGGGCCCAGTTATGAAAGTGTTCATTTACAGACTGGCACAAATATCCAAATTAAGCAGCTTATAGATGAGTATAGAGGCTAGAGAGCTTCCCCGCCCCAAAGAAACCACTCCAATAAATATGCTCCAAGCTTGGAGGAAAGAATACCCTTCCCTTTCTGAGATATAGCAGAAAAATAGAAGTCTGAGATGCATTCTGCATAGCCAGTTTATACCTGGAATGTGTCCAGATGACACACACAAGTGGGCCTTGTAGCCCAGGGCTGGCTTTGTGTCTGCCAGGGCTCAGCCCTTCCCCACAGCCGTGTGGGCGGGAAGCAGCAGGTGGCAGCTAAGGAACCACCACAAAAACCCAACAAGATTTAAAAAACCCAGTAGGGTCTGCAGCAGTGTTTGAAATGAAATGGTTTTTATTTTTCAGAAATGACAAGATGACCTCCGATAGGACCTAACAATCCTGAGCACCCTGCAGCTTCTCCTCGTAGAGGGAGAAATAAAATCTATCACTGCAACAGCGCCAGGCTTCAGCAGCCCTGTGTGAGCCAACCTCGGGGAGGGGACGGGAAGGGGATGGGGAGAACGGGACATGGACGTGCAGGAGGGCGCAGCAGCAATGGAGACACAGCCAACCGGGGCTGGCAGGTCACCCGCAGCAGCCCACCAAGTCCCCAGAGCTCTACGTTATTTAAAAAGGACTCGGGCCACTGCATCGTTGTCAGGGAGGGGACCCCCAGTGTGTGCCCACCAGCTCACGAGGGCTGCCTAGCTGCAGCCAGTTCACAAATGACAGTTTCTGCTACCTGTTTCCTGCAGCCTTGGCTCCAACCCACCTAAGGCTCACACGGATTTTCCCTATGACTTAGAATGGCTTTGTGTTCACTTTAATTGTAGTTTGTGCCGTTCTGTGAAGTAATAAACAAAGAAAGCGACATTGCAGAGGCTTGGGAGAAGCTGAGGACTCGGTCTCAAGGGCCCCCTCACACACATCACACGCCTACAAAGAATGCCAGCTGAGGAAGTGTAGACGAGGAGGCCACAGCTCGGAGGCACCTACTGCGGGCCCCAGCTGCCACGTTTGTTACCACTGCTCTAACTCTGACATCGTGGACTATGATCCTGTAAAACTGCAAACAATATAAACAAGTTATCTATAAAAAAGTTTCCTCCAAAAGAGATTTATGATCCACTTTTTAGATTAATTGGTCCCTCTATCCTCCTTTGGGGGTGGGGGCTCACGTTAGAAAGACAGGTGCCTCATCAGCCACCGAACCCACGTCATGAAGGCAAGTAGCGGTCTGCAGAGTGGCGGGAACAGTAAGACCAGAACGCCTTCCGTGGGTCTCATCCCACCCCTGCCTGCCCCATCTGTGCCACAGCTCATTCAGAGCAGGGAGCCAGGCCTCTGGAAGACACACTATCTGGCATTAAGGAGTTTGTCCTCATCTGTTGCCATGTGTCTGTGGTGCCCACTGGAGGGAACATATCTTCAAGTGACCTTCGAGCAAGAGGCTCTACTATTAAGACAACAGGCCCCCTCCACCCCACCCTTGCCGTTCGGGCTTCAGTCCTAAAAGGGCTCTGGCACACATGGAGATGGAAGCAGTCTGGGGTTGGATTCCGCTGGCTACCCCTGTGAAGACAGGCGAGGAAGCCCCTTCCCACACACAGCACCTCAGAGCTTTGGCAGGGATGGCATCTTGTACGATCTGCTCTGGAGGGAAGGGAGGCTGCTGCAGAACCGCAGACCCAACAAGGTAAAAGCACGGCCACAGGACTTGTAGATATTCAAGTGAGAGAATACAGAGTAGTGGGAAGACAAGAAACACACACTCTAAATTCAGATTATCAGACAAATAAAATCTAAAGCAGAATCCTTAATTCCCTATTTGTCCAGTCACAACAGGCCTAGGATTATGTTCAGGCATCAAATCTCAGGCTTTAGAGCCAGCCGTCAAGCTGAAGCCCAGATGCTTCACTGTGGAACGGCTCTGCCCATGAGAGCACACTTGTAACCTTCTCACCCCGGGACGGCCGGGAACCGTGGTACAAAAACTACCAAAGAGAAAAGAGAGAACCGGTCACCGTACTCAGCAGCACCAGCGCACAGAGAGAAGTCGCCCCTGGCACCACTTTCAAGAAAAAAACAGAAGTATAGTTTAACATTCTAATTTTGAATTGTGGCCGTTCTCCTTTCCTAAGGCACAGCGAAGGGGTCCCCGGCAGAGCTGGTCACACTGGGGAGTGCACCCCGGTGATGGCACGTTCCTCTCGGGGACCAGCATGCCGCACAGGAGCTACTCCGCGGCGGCCAGCTGCTCAATGGCACAGCGCACTTTCTTTGCGGTCTCTTCGAATTCTTTCTGCTTGTTTTTGGTTTCCTTTGCCTGGAAATAAAGAACAGGCGTATGAAACGGAATCAGGAGCTTCCCAATCACACCCTGTAAATAAAATCAAAATGGAACAAATAAGGCAACATTTACTGAGCATCTAAATAAATTGGGCGCTGCGCTAGGGTGGAGATATCTAGCTATCTTGGGGTGAATATCCTGACTCAACTCAAGGGCCTCCCACTTAAGCTACATCCTAATAATCATAAAAGACAAGACTTAGGGAATGTGTGTGTGTGTACCAAGCACCATTTTACCCATTTCCTACACATGAACTGCTTTATTGCTTGGCGTCCCTGTGAGGCAGGTGCCATCACCGTCTGCATTATACAACGGGGAAACCAAGGCCCAGAGTGGTGCCCAGCTCCAGGTTTCCCAGCTAGTCTGTGGTATAGCCCTGTTTTTTTTTTAAAGATTTTATTTATATATTCATGAGAGACAGAGAAAGAGGCAGAGACACAGGCAGAGGGAAGAGCAGGCTCCATGCAGGGAGCCCGATGTGGGACTCGATCCCGGGACTCCAGGATCAGGCCCTGGGCCAAAGCCAGAGCTAAACCGCTGAGCCACCCGGGTGCCCTGTTTTTTAATTAAAGTAATAAGAACAAAGGCATCCTTCTAAAGTATCCTGTATTCTGACTGGGGTAGAACAGAAACAGTTGCACAATGAAAGCAAAACATTTTCTTCCTATCCCCCACTTTCCTCACTCACCTGTTCACCTGGTCTGGTGTGGCCCCACTGCTGTTCCCGCTGATAGTGGTGACCTGGTGACTGAGCATCTCCTGGTGGGCCTCCTGCTCCAGTGAGTCACCTCTCCCCACAGGCCACCTGACTCCCTCCACCAGACCATGGGGCCTACGAGCACTGGGTCACTGTCCTGGAGCTGGGCTGTCACAACCATGTCTTCCTCTTTGTTACAACCATCTAACATCCTTGGTCTTTTTCCGTGCTCCACAGTTTGGTTTCAGCCTCCCCGGGCTACACATTAACCTTCCCCTGCTTGCTGGGGCACAGCTTCCTCACAACTGTCCCCTAAGTAGACAGGCTGGTCTCTCACCTAGAATGGGCTTGGCAAACTGTGGCCTGTGGGACACATGGCCTATTTCTCATAGTCATTAGGCCAAGAATGGTTTTCACAATTTCTAAATAGTTGTAAAGACAAAAATGACAAAGACAAAGAATAATACCTAACAGAAACCATGCGGTCCACGAAGGCTAAAATATTTGTTATCTGTGGCACTTCGTGGAATGTGTGCTGACCCCTGACCTAGGAGGCTCTCCTTGGCTCACTTCCCAGTTCCGACACTGCAGTTCCCAAGGTCTCCACGGTGTAAATAGCTCTTCCACAACTTGCTATTCTGATGGTGAATTTCTTCCCTCTTCCTAACAAAAAATGTGGTCTTCAGCATTGAAAACCTACTATATTAGATAGAACTATTTCATGATCATCTCTAAAAAGGAATATAAATTTTCAACCAGAAAAGGGTCTCAGAAACCATGGGGATCTGCCCTCCACATGCAACCAAGACTGGCCTAAACTCACAGAGCCCGTGAGTGGCAGGGACAGAACCAGAATGTCCACTCCCAGCCCAGGGCTTTGCTACAAGGATATTAAATGCCTGAATATTTATTCTCTGTAACACTGCCATCCGTAGCAAATAAAAAGAGAATGTCCAGCTTAATTTGAACTTCATAAAAACGAGTAATTCTTTTAGTATACAGCCACACAAAATGTGCGCTTTACTAAGAAATTCTCCCCTGTGTACCTGAAATTCAGATTTAACTGGGAGCCCTGATTTTCTCTATAGCCCAGGCTGCTTGGTACCCCCTTTGTGGACCTACAGCCTCACCCCTCCTCCCTCCCCATAACCCAGGATTACCTGTCCAAAAGCGGTCAAAGTTCACCTGCAGAAATCCCAAGGTCCAACTGGACTGGCACCTCTTCTTCCCAATACCCATAATGCCCCTTCCCCGATATGTTACTATGTGCCCCCAAACCCTCTGTCCCCACCTCGTAAATGGCCTGCCACTCAGACGGTCTCTGAAGGCCGGAGCGCCAGCCTACCGCCACTGCCCCACCACCAGAGGCACCTCACACTAAACACAGCTTCCAGGAGGAACATGTTTCTCTGACTGCACAACCCCAAGACCACATTCCAGGACAGAAGCTTTTCTGTCCTTTAGATCCTCACATATATACCTGAGGGGCTTAAAAACGCTGAGGAAAAACAAAGCCGCTCCAATATGAGGGGCGGGGAACTCAGTGCTACAGACTCAGTGGGGTTGGCCCTGGGTTTTTACCCCCGATCATACATACAATTTTGTTCTTGGCTCTTTCTTTGTCCAGTTTCAAAAATTCACTGAGGGTTAATTCTTCAAACTGCTTCTTGACAGAAAGGAAAGCACAACCAGATGAATGTTTTTTATGCTCCTCTCTAGAAAAAACAAAACAGGAGCATGTCAACAGAGAAAGGTCAGCAACAGTTTGTCAGCAACACCCACCACCCCAGCTCACAAACGTGCCTGCCTCTGCTTCGTGAAGTGCACAGAACCGGCGCTCGGTCCCAGGGCACACTCCCAGCAGCCCATCCCTGCCCCTGCCCTCTCTGTGGACGCTCCCCACCATGCTTGGGGCCCATGTATTTTATCTGAAGTCCTCTAGCAAGTAGCAGGAAAAGTGTCACGCGGTATGTAAGTGCAGAAGTAGCACGTGTCAAATCCCTCTAAAATCCTCAAGGAGGGAACAGTCTGAAGTAATCTCATTTCACTGGAATCCTGACAGAATCTGCTTGCTGGTCCCCAATAAGGGCATCGCTGGCCAGGCTTCTCCAGTGAACTGCCCTGCCTCGCTCTCTGCACTCATATCCCTGCATAGGACAGTGCGAACAGAACACAGCCACACAGAGGACAGCCGATAGGAACTGAAAACATTCTAGCACTTAGAAACCCACTCCCAAGAATACAACGGATACTTTCCCAGTGATCCGGGTATGAGCAGTCAAGAATGAGTCACGAGAGCAAACACGTTCGGGAAAACAGCAATTCTCTTCTGGCCAAGAAGAGACAACTCAGGTGATTACCGGAAAATGTTAAAGTCATGGCAGCAATCGGGTCTGACAGGGGAAAAATGGTGAGAAAAGAACGTGGCATCACACACAGAAAGACAGCCAGCAGCGTCTACCTGAACATACATCCCGAATTAAAACAAGAAAACAAAACTAGATGCCTTAAAGGACAAAACTGGAAACAACACGTGTACCATTTAGGAGGCTGTTTTCTCTGGTGTGAGTGACAGCTCAAAAAAGCTGTAGGTTTGAAGACTCGAAGGCAAGGAAAGCACCTGGATATCCCCAGGTCACCAGAGGATCTGCTCCCGTGTTCTCCAGACCCGAAAGGCGCCACGTACGGTACTACAAGGATGAGCCTTTCCTCAGCATCCTCGCTGAAGTACGTTTGGCCAAATTAGGTTTGATTCGGCTGAAAGCACCAGGGCACCAACACACAGAGTCATCGTTTGCACAAAACGAACTTGGAAAGCCATGGCTCCATCACTAAGTATCTTTTTGTTTTGTTTTTTAAAGATTTTATTTATTTACTCATGAGAGACGCACAGAGAGAGAGAGAGAGAGAGGGAGGGAGAGAGAGAGAGAGGCAGAGACCCAGGCAGAGGGAGAAGCAGGCTCCATGCACGGGAGCCCGATGTGGGACTCGATCCCGGATCTCCAGGATCAGGCCCTGGACTGAAGGCGGCGCTAAAAACGCTGAGCCACACGGGCTGCCCCATCACTAAGTGTCTTTGAAATTCTGACAGTTTTCACAGGCCCAGCTCAAAAGAGAAACCTGGGATGGTGCCAGGGCACCCTGGAAGCCTGTGAGGCTTGGGGGGGGGGGGGCGACTTACATAGGGTCATCATCTGGCTCCCAGCCTTCCAGCTCCTTGAAGCAGAAGAAACACTGGGCCAAGTCCGGCTCGTTCTCGGTGGGACAGTGGATGAAGCCCGCCTCTGCCATCTGCAAGGGAAAGCTGAAGCTCAGGCCAAGGAACTCCAGAGTCCAGGAGCCTGTAGCAGGATGGGTCACCCCGTGGGGATGTGGGAGCCCACAGGGGCGGGGTCGCCTCGGGGACCTGGGAGCCCACGGAGGAGGGGTCGCCCCGGGGACCTGGGAGCCCACGGAGGGGGGGTCGCCCCGGGGACCTGGGAGCCCACGGAGGGGGGGTCGCCCCCGGGGACCTGGGAGCCCACGGAGGGGGGGTCGCCACGGGGACCTGGGAGCCCACGGAGGGGGGGTCGCCCCGGGGACCTGGGAGCCCACGGAGGGGGGGTCGCCCCCGGGGACCTGGGAGCCCACGGAGGGGGGGTCGCCCCGGGGACCTGGGAGCCCACGGAGGGGGGGTCGCCACGGGGACCTGGGAGCCCAGGGAGGGGGGGTCGCCACGGGGACCTGGGAGCCCACGGAGGGGGGGTCGCCTTGGGGACCTGGGAGCCCACGGAGGGGGAGTCGCCACGGGGACCTGGGAGCCCACGGAGGGGGGGTCGCCCCCGGGGACCTGGGAGCCCACGGAGGGGGGGTCGCCACGGGGACCTGGGAGCCCAGGGAGGGGGGGTCGCCACGGGGACCTGGGAGCCCACGGAGGGGGGGTCGCCTCGGGGACCTGGGAGCCCACGGAGGGGGGGTCGCCCCGGGGACCTGGGAGCCCACGGAGGGGGGGTCGCCACGGGGACCTGGGAGCCCACGGAGGGGGGGTCGCCACGGGGACCTGGGAGCCCACGGAGGGGGGGTCGCCCCGGGGACCTGGGAGCCCACGGAGGGGGGGTCGCCCCCGGGGACCTGGGAGCCCACGGAGGGGGGGTCGCCCGGGGTCCCGCCTGGGTTCTGGGGGAGGGGCGGGCCGGGCCCGGAGGCCGCGCGGTCTCACCCGGTCCGGGGTGCAGGCGCAGCCCTCCAGGAACGGCCAGTTCTTGAACGTAGAGACGCGGTGGTCCTTGAGGTAGAGCTGCCAGGCGGGGGGCAGCGACGAAGCGCCCATCCCGCCGCCGCCACAGCAGAGCGCGGCCGGATTCAAATCCGAGGGTTGACGGCCGCCGCGGGGCAGGTCGGGAACGCACCGCCCCACAAGAGCCCGTCGCCCGCAGCCTTCTGGGAATGCAAGGCTGGGCGGCGCGGGGCGTGCTGGGAGTTGTAGTCCTCTCCGCGAGGCTCCGCTGCTCGCGGCGCGCAGGGTGGCCTTCGGTCCAGTTCCCGCGCTTAGCGCTTCCCCCACCACTTGCAGAGACGGGCGGGCAGAGGGACTGGGGATGCGCTGATGTCCCCGTGATGCTTCAAGGAGTGGCCACTGTCAAGCACATATATATATATTAATCCTGTGCTTATTTTTTTTTAAGATTTTATTTATTTATTCATGAAAGATACAGAGACAGAGGCAGGGACACAGGCAGAGGGAGAAGCAGGCTCCATGCAGGGAGCCTGGTGTGAGACTCGATCCCAGGACTCCAGGATCATGCCCTGGGCCGAAGGCAGGCGCCAAACCACTGAGCCACCCAGGGATCCCTAATCCTGTGCTTATTAAACACTCCCCTTTTTCCATAAGAGTTTGTAACAGTTAATTCATAGATAAGCTTTTGGCTCTATCAGATTTTACCAATAGCTTCTGCCATTTTGAGCCCTCCGTCTACACTATTTGTCTAAGTTCCTATCGCCTAGGGTCAAAATTTTAATATCTTAATGTAGTAGCTAAAAAAAACAAAACAGCTTAACCATAACCCACAATCCTCGGACCAACAAAACAAAACCAAACAAAACAAATCCCTGAGGCTTATGTCAGTGTTAGCCATTGTCAAATTAATCTTGGTCATTTCTACCAGTTACAGTCTTTATGAACTGGATAGGAAGCTGGTAGCATGTAATTTTTTCCCAGCTTAATTGACAAGAACATTGTGAGCAGTTTTGTGAAACAGTGGGGAGGGAAAATGAGACAGAAAACCCCACAAACAAAGGTGGGAGGACCCAGAGGTGGGAGGGAGGCAAGCTGTGTTGGGTTTATGGGTTGCTAAATTCTCGGGATCAAAGGTCTCCCTGCTTAGCCTGAAAAGGTGACCCTCCTGAGAGCTCTCCTCTTACAACACTGGGGAGTGGCAGACTTTTAGATCTTTGCCCCATGTGACAATGCAGAACAGCACTTGCTTGTTTTAAGTTGTATCTCTTAGATAAAAAGACTGATCCTCTCAAATCTATCACCTTTATCTTGCTTGTGAATTATCCATTTGTGTCTTTACCCACTTTACTGTTAGGTTACCTATATTTTTCCTATTGCATGGTGAGTTTTTTTTCTTATTGGTTTTTGTAAAGGTTTTACTTATTTATTCATAAGAGACACAGAGAGAGGCAGACACACAGGCAGAGGAAGAAGCAGCTCCCTGCGGGGAGCCCGATGCAGGACTCGATCCCAGGACCCCAGGATCACAATGTGAGCCAAAGGCAGATGCTCAACCACTGAGCCACCCAGGTGCCCCTCTAAAGTAATTTTTATAAGTTCAAGTGGACATACGGGATCCTGGGGTTCAGGCTAGGATTGCCTTTTGCCCTTAGCAAAGTATTAACATCAAGGCAGCTGAGTCCCGAGAGGAAGGTCACTCTACCTGTTTCAGGGATTTGTCAATGGGCTATAGATAGTAAGGAAATTTAATAATTTCTCTTCTGCCTTTGTTTCCCACATCTTTGATCCTTTCAGAGTATATCAATGGAAGGTACGTGGAAAGGGTTCAGATTGGTTTGCCAAGATCTGGCCAGTTGGCCCCATACTGTTTGGTAAGCAGCTTTGAACAGAGGCAGGTTTGAAGCACCACTTTTATCACATACTAAACACCCCTATGTACTGGGACCCATCTCTGGGACCCCCGCTCAGTCTCAGTTCTGCCCATGGGTCTGTCTGCCTGTTCCTGCTCCAGCTGGATTCTTTTACAGGCGAATCAATGGAGGCCCAGAATCGCTGGTAGAAGTCTGGAAAGGACAGGGAGACAGGGAGTGAAACCAGCTCCAGGAACAGAGCCCTGAGTAGCTCCGGGTGCTAGGCAACCAGAGAGGGCCCCCACCTGCTCCACAAAGTCAGAAAGGAGAATTCTAGAGGGCTTCCATGCCACACAACAGCTTCAAGAGAGTTTGAAGGACTAAAGGACAGAGAAAGACATAACTCTGAGTCCCTGAGGGCATCACCGATAGCCCAGACCTGGGTGTCCAGGAGGGTGGGGAGGGGGGCAGTGACAAACGTAGGAGAGAACAGGGCAGGACAGGGAGGGTGGGTGCGGCTGACCCCGGGGCAAACGCCCCCCTTCCCTCCTCAAAATGGTGTCCCAGCAACGGCAAATCCTGCAGCCTACGGGGAAAATCCATGTGTCCTCCATCTGTGTCGGGAACAGGGTGTTCTGAGGTCACTTCCCGAGCTGCAGGGGTGGCTGAGAGGCGCCTCTCACATCCGCAGACCAGAAATAAGAGGACTTCTCAGCGCTCCAGCCCCAGGCGGGCTGCTGGCTTCTATTCTTTTAATGATGTTTTGGAAACTTTTTTTTTTAATTAAGTAGGCTCCACGCCCAATATGGAGCTGGAAGTCCCAACATTGAGATTAAGAATGTCATTCTCTATCATGCTCTACTGACTAAGCCAGCCAGGTGCCCCTGGAAGCTTTTTATTGTATCATTTAAAAATTTTTTTGGTATCATTTTATTTTTTCCTTTTTTAAAAAAATTTATTTATGATAGTCACAGAGAGAGAGAGAGAGAGAGAGAGAGGCAGAGACACAGGCAGAAGGAGAAGCAGGCTCCATGCACCGGGAGCCTGACGTGGGATTCGATCCCGGGTCTCCAGGATCGCGCCCTGGGCCAAAGGCAGGCACCAAACCGCTGCACCACCCAGGGATCCCCTGTATCATTTTAAATTAAAGAAAATTTGCAAGAATAGTACAAGGAGTACTCGTGTATACTCTACACAGATTTTGTTTACATGCTGCCCATACACACATATACGTATATATGTAGAGAGAGAAAGAGAGATATGTGTATATGTGTATTTTTTACCTAAGCAATTTAGAAGTAAGGTGAAGGTAATTATGCCATTTTACCCCTCTCTCATATAACCACAAAACAATTGTCAAAATCAGGAAGTTTTAACATTAATAAAGTTATATGCATAATGAGCTTATACAACTCAACATCAAAAAAAGAAAATAGCTCAGTTAAAAACTGGGCAGTGGACCTGAATAGACATTTTTCCAAAGAAGACATATGGATGGCCAACAGATGCATGAAAAGATGCTCGACATCACCAATTATCAGGGAAATGCAAATTAAAGCCACAATGAGGTACCACCTCCCACCTATCAGAATGGCTAAAATTAAAAAAAACCCACAAAATATAGCAAGTGTTGGAGAGGAAGTGGAGAAAAAGGAGCCCTCGTGCACTGTTGGTGGGAATGCAGACTGGCCCAGCCACTGTAGAAAAAACAGTATGAAGTGTCCTCAAAAAATTAAAATAGAAATAGGTATGATCTAGCAATTCCACTACTGGGCATTTACTCGAAGAAAATGAAAACAATAATTTGAAAAGATGCATGTACCCCGATGTCTATTGCAGCATGATTTACAGTAGTCAAGATGTGGAAACAGCCCAAGTGTCTACTGACTGATGAATGGATGAAGAAGATGTGGTATACATGTACAATGAAATATCACTCAGCCATAGAAAGGATGAGATCTTGCTATTTGTCACAACATGGATGGACCTAGAGGTATTATACTGAGTGAAATAAGTCAGAGAAAGACTAATACATATGATTTCACTGATATGTGGAGTTTAAGAAACAAAAAAAAAAAAAAAAAAGAAGGAAAAAAGACACAAAGGAAAAAGCCAAAAAAAAAAAATTAAAAAAAACAAAAACAAAAACAAAAAACAAAGGAAAAAGCCAGACTGTTAAATACAGAGAACACAGTGGCGGCGGCTAGAGGGCAGGTGGGTGGGGGGATGGGCCCAATAGTTAAAGGGGATTAAGAATCCACTTATCCTGATGAGCACCGAGCAATGAACACAATTGCTGAGCCTTACATTGTACACCTGAAACAGAACACTGTATGTTAATTATGCTCCAATAAAAAAAGAAATCACAAAGCCATTTTTAAAAAGCCATACAAGGGATCCCTGGGTGGCGCAGAGGTTTGGCGCCTGCCTTTGGCCCAGGGCGCGATCCTGGAGACCCGGGATCGAATCCCACGTCAGGCTCCCGGTGCATGGAGCCTGCTTCTCCCTCTGCCTATGTCTCTGCCTCTCTCTTTCTCGCTCTCTGACTATCATAAGTAAAAAAAAAAAAAAAAAAAATTAAAAAAGCCATACAAATAGCTATCCAGTCCACAGCGTATTTTTTATATTAAATCAAAATGTTTATAGTAATAGAAGCACTTATATTATTATTATTTTAAGATTTTATCCATTTATTCATGTGAGACACACAGAGAGAGGCAGAGGGAGAAGCAGGCTCCCAGCAGAGATCCCTATGTAGGACTTGATCCCAGGACCCCGGGATCAGGACCTGAGCCAAAGGTAGATGCTCAACGACTGAGCCACCCAGGGCCTCCCTAGAAGCACTTATATTAGATGAAAAAAAAAATTGGAATTGAAAAAATTAAAATTGCCCATAATTTCACCTTGTCAACTGCTGTGACCCTGTGTATATTCCTCCCATCTTTTTCCCTCTATCTATAGATATGGAGGTTATCCGCCCATCCATATATATATGTTTCTATAACTCTTTTTTTTTTTAAAGATTTATTTATTTGAAGAGAGGGACAGAGTGCATGAGTGAGGGGAGGGGCAGAGGGAGAGGGAGGGGGAGAGAGAAGCAGACTCCCTGCTGAACGCAGAGCCCTACTCCCTAGGTTGGATCCCAGGACCCTGAGATCATGACCTGAGCCCAATACAAGGGTCAGACGCTTAACCAACTGAGCCACCCAGGCGCCCTGTTTATGTCTCCTTTTTTAAAAAAGTGAAAATAGGATCACAAGGCAGCAGGCACATTTTGTTCTGTCTTTTGCTTGCTTAAGGCATTTTGCCATCATAGGGCATAACCTAACGGAGCGATTCTCCACCTAGGTGCCGAGATGTCAGCAGCTTGGAGGTGTCTCAGAAGGAATTTGTTGCAAATGTTAAATGACGTCCTACAGTTTGTGAGTCATTTCCTTTGAAGATCTGGAATAAATTCAAGTTACATCTATCATGGTGTTCTCATCTGCCTGCATCCTGAAAGCTTTCTGAATATTTTAGTGCTTCAAATTACATATTGCATTTAAATATTCATTACATTCTTATCCTAAGAGTCAAAGAATACAGATGAAGCAAACACCTCCTTCCCTGGGTTCCCATTTCTACCTCCTGCCCCAGAGGGTAGCAGAGGCATCAGGTGTGGATCTTCCAGGGCCTTTCCCCAGCATTCACACACGTGGGCACACAGAGAAAAACATCTTTTTGTGGGTCTACAACCATTGAGATGGTACTAAGTTGTATCATTGAGCATCTTGTTTTTATCATATAACAATATGCCCTGGGGATTTCCCACCTGGTAAACAGGTCTCTTTCTAATGGCTACATAGTGATTGGTCGCTGGCTGCTTGGATGCACTTATCCTACTGATGAATATCTAGGCCATTCTTCACTTTCTCTGTACTCCATCATCTTGGAGTGCCAGCTGCTCAGAGTGGGGGCGGGGTGCTGGGATGCGGAGGGTGGTGGATGCACACAGCTGGCTCCTTGGGAATTGCACACACAGCTGGGCGAAGCAGAGGAAGCTTATCCTGGCTGTGGATGTCATTGTCATGCCCCAGAAGGGGCTAGCCTGGAGGCCATGCCCCAGGACTCTTAGGGGAAGACTCGGGTGACAGGTGGAGCCCAGGACTAGAGTGGTCAAGAGTGCCGTCAAAGACAGAACAGACTGGTTTGAGAAACTCTTATGAAAAGGTTAGCAAACTCTTTCATCCAGAGCTAAATGTACAGATTGCTAGGAGCTGTCATTTTTGTCATGCCCTCTTGGCAGGCAGGGGGCCCGGCAGCTTGGGCATCCCAGGGCGTTGACTCGGCTGGACCTTCCCTGGAACCCTTCCATCCAGGCCAGCGAAAGGCCCTGGAGGTTTTTAGTGGTGTTCAGAGCAAAGAGATGTGCTCATGGGCGTGGGGAGAGCGGAGGCAGGCAGGCAGGGGAAGTGTGAGGGTCTGTGGAGGAGCTTCAGCATCATTCAACGTCGGGGCTCCTGGAGGATTGTTCTCAAAATCATCTGCGACAGGACGAAAAGACATAAAAGCCCAAGAATTGGAGAGGCTGTTGTGAGACTCTCTCGAGGAATCTGATGAAAGAAACAGGCTGCATTGCTGATCATAAAACTGTCACTTAAAATGACAGCTCAGTCCCCATCTGTCCTTTGAAGTGTCCTAAACAAACTCCCAACCATATGTAGACTTACATCAGGCTTGACCTGTGGTTTTGTCCACTTACGAGCTAAGAATAGCTTTATGTGTTTATGTAATTAGGTTTAATTAATTAATTGGCAATTAAGTCAGGGCCAAATTCTCAGAAATCTCTACACCCAATGTGGGGCTTGAACTCATGACCCGGAGATCAAGAGTTGCACGCGCTATGGACTGAGCCAGCCAGGAGTCCCTGGCTTTATGTTTTTAAAGGGTTAAACAAAGATCGAAACAATATTAGTGCACACTTGATCTTAGCCAAAAGGCTGAGAAGCGATTCAGAATATTATTTCATGATGTGTAAAAATTAGGTAAGATTCGAATGTCAGCATCCATAAATAAGGTTTTATTGGCACAAAGGCACGTTCATCATTTACGAATTGTTGTGGCAGCTTCTGTGCTACAATGGCAGTGTTGGGTAGTTGTGTCAGAGGCTGTATGGCCCCCAAAACCTAAAATATGTATTTCTTAGGTTTTTCAAGAGATGCCACTTGGGAGTGTTTGTTTTTTACCCCCAGTTAAAAAAAAAAAAAAAAGTAATACATGTTCGTGTTAGCAAATCTGGAAATGAATTTTTTTAAAAGATTTTATTTATTCATTCATGAGAGACACACACACACAGGGAGAGGCAGAGACAAGGCAGAAGGAGAAGCAAGCTCCATGCAGGGAGCCCGACGTGGGACTTGATCCAGGATCACACCCTGGGCCAAAGGCGGCGCTAAACTGCTGAGCCCCCTGGGTTGCCCCTGGAAATGAATTTTTTAAATATACTATCACACCACTAGTGTGACACACGCATGTATATGCTTCCAAGGGTCTAGCTGTCTGTGTATTATTGAACTGGCGATGTACTGGATCAGTTGTTTCTGGATCAGTTGTTTCCTGTGCTTTTGCTCTCACATCTGAAACGATTTGATACGTCCTAATTTTCGTAAACTTCATTCTGTTACCGAATTATGTCGTAATTTAACCTCACTGGGACATGTAAGCTGTTTCTAAGTTTTGATTATTAATAATGCTGCAAAGACGACCTTTGCGTATTTCTCGATTATTCTGAAGAGAAATTCCAAGCAGCAGAATCACTGGGCCAGTGGGTTTGGATCCCTGTGGCCAGGCTGTGCCGTCACCCGCGGAATCAGAGAAGAGCCCTTCACAATCGCTCCAGCGGGCCTGGGCATAATTCTCATCAGAACATTTTCCATGACAGGTGGGAAAGGACTGGAATTTTATGTGACATTTCTATGATCACTAGTATAATCTTCCCCTATGTTTACTGGCCATCTATAGTTTTTCTTAAAACATTCCTTATCCTTTATCCATTTTTTTTCTATTCTTAAATAGAAATAAATAGAAATAAAAAGTATTCTTATTGGGGCACCTGGGTGGCGCAGTGGTTGATCACCTGCCTTTGGCTCAGGGCATGATCCTGGGGTCCTGGGATCGAGTCTCGCTTCGGGCTCCCGCAGGGAGCCTGCTTCTCCCTCTGCCTGTGTCTCTGCCTCTCTCTCTGTGTCTCATGAATAAATAAATAAATAAATCTTTAAAAATAAAATTGTTCTTATTGATTTTAAAGTGCTCTTTATATAGTAAGAATATTAACTATGTGACTTAAAAGTGAATGCTATAGAAGCCTTACTGAGGTGGCAGCTGATTAAAAAGTGAAGCTAACGAAGTACCCACTTTCCCAGAAAAAAAAAAAGTGCTAAGTCTATATCTGCCAAATCTGTGGCAAATATTTCCCCCAATTTATTCTTTGACTTTTAAAAGAATTCTCCACATTAGAAATAGAATAGGTGCGCTGGGTGGCTCAGTGGGTTAAGCCTCTGCCAAGATCCTGGGGTCCAGGGATGGAGTCCCTGCTCAGCAGGGAGTCTACCTCTCCCCCTCCCTCTGCCCCTCCCCCTGTTTGTGCACACACTCTCTCTCTCAAATAAATAAATAAAATCCTTAAGAAAATTGTAATATTAGATTTTGTAAAAAAGATTCTATTTTTAAGTCATCTCTACACCCATGAGATTGAGTCACGTGCTCCACCAACTGAGCCAGCCAGATGCCCCTGTAATATTTGATTTTTAAAAAGATTCTTCATGTTAGAGTTGTAATGAACATTTATGAACCATATCCATCCATCCTCTCCTACATGGAGTTGGCTTTGCTTTATGCTTACACACAGGCTCATCTCACGCTTTCCTTTGACCGGATCAATGCCTCTCCCCATCCACACCAAGCCCCGTGCAGCTCCCACCTGTGTGCCTAGGAGCGGACTCTGCAGACCACCTGGGGCTCTTTCAGAGAGGGGTGAAGTAGAGGAAGCCAGTGGGGTACTCACTTCCTACCATCAGGACCCCAGCCTCCTGGATGCCCAAGATCCAGTAAAGTGGCCCCCCTGTGCTTCCCACCTCCCCTTCTGTGTGGGGACAGAGGACCCACACTCTCCACAGGGAAAGGAAGTGCTCCCCACCTGGGTGAGCATATAGTCCTTCTGGGTTAGGTTCCAAATGATTTCAAAGTGATCCATATCATGGATTTCTTCAAACGAGGCATTCCACCCTCTTTGGCGCAGTGTCTGGATAGAGAAAGGAGCAGAGCGGAAGCATGAGGCAGCAGTGGGTGGGGGGGCTCTGCGCCACACCTGGCACCCACCAGGTGCTCCCTAAGTATTTGTTGAATAAATGGCTGATGGCCTTGAGGTCCCTTTGGGTAAAATAAACAGGAAGGTAATGAGAGCACAGGACCCTCAGCCTCTGGCCGGAGGCGGAGTCCTGGGAGTACCTGATAAAATTCCTTGGACTGTCGGTGGAATTCAGGGGAGTCGTGTTGGCCCACAGACACCAGCACATGGCAGGCTGGATCCAAGGGCCGAGTCAGGGCCGCCTCCAGGAGCAGCTGTGGGCTGTTCCTCTGAGCATCCTCCCTGATGCAGGGGGTAGGTGTGGGTCAGGACAGAAAGGAGCCTACCCCTTACCCCCAGCCTTCCTGGTAGGCTCACACTCAGCTCTGGGAAGAGGGGGCCAAATGACTCACAGGGTCATGAGGAGAGGAGCATTCTGAGAAGTGTACACAATGGGCTTCAGGTCATAGATCCCACTTACCAGGAAAAAGCCTATGAAGGTGAAGAATAGTCAGAGGGGCAGGCTGCTGGGGGGCCAAGGCTCCACCCATACTATGCCTTGTGCAGGCACCAGGTGGGACAGTCTAGCCTCCAGGACCAAAGGGGCAAGACCAGGGTAGGGGTAGAGAAGCAAAGCAGGCCTGTTGCACAGGGCCCAAAGTCCCCAGGTCAAGCCTTTCATGACTGTTGGGATTTTGTGCAGCTGGCACAGCCCCGCAAGCCCATCTGGGGAGTGTGAACCTGCAGTCCCATGAAAACCTTTGAGGTTGGGTGTGACTCCATGCTTGGTCCAGTTGGCCAGGAGCATCATGGCAGCCAGGTGGGCTCCTGCTGAGTGTCCACACAGGTAAATTCCCCTGGGTTGGATCAGAGCAGAGAGCCAAATTTGTATTCAGTTTCCCAAATGCATCAGGCCAGTATCAAAGACTCTCAATTTGCCTTCTGCTCCACAGGCCAGAGCGGGCAGCCAGACGGTGCCCAAGGGGCTAAATCTACTGTTGTCCCACATTGTCTAGCAGAAGGAAAATCTGCAGCGGTACCCACTCGTTGCACGGATACTGCTTCTGGACAAACACGATGCTCCGAGTCACTTGGTCTACCATCTGGTCCAGGGTACCTGCCCAGAGAGCATGAGCTGGGTCAAGACCCATTGGGGGCTCTCTCCTCTCCAAAGCCCACCAACCTTCCAACCTGCCCAACGATCCGCATTACCTTTGGGGGCGATGTCATAAGCCACTACCACCACGGTCACCCCCTGCTCTGTCAGTGGATTGACCATGAAGGCTGATGTGTCTTTACTGAGGAAAGAAACAAAGATGTGACAACTGGAGGCACGACGGCCACCAGGTTGCTTCCCTGTCCTGTCTCCCCAGGGCATCATCCCTCTCTGGTTCCGTGTAGTATAAGGAAGAATGTAGGCGCTGTCCTTACCATGTCACATGCTAGCTCTGAAACCCTGGGGACTTTATTTAATCTCTAAATCTGGTTTCCTCATCTGTCAAGTGGGGGCATCTGCTTCCTCTTACACGTTGTCTTTGAGAAATGAAGATCAGACATGTAGAGAGCTCTGTGTGATGAAGGCTGCTACCACTCTAACTGTGAAGATGAATATGCTTGAAGGGTGGTAGATCCTAGAGCAGGCAACTCCTTAGAAAGATTGCGTGGGGCAGCCCAGGTGGCTCAGCGGTTTAGCGCCACCTTCAGCCCAGGGCCTAATCCTGGAGACCTGGGATTGAGTCCCACATCGGGCTCCCTGCATGGAGCCTGCCTCTCCCTCTCCCTCTCCCTCTCCCTGTGTCTCTGCCTCTCTATCTCTCTGTGTCTCTCATGAATAAATAAATAAAATATTAAAAAAAAGAAAGATCGCATGGGACAACAGTGTCCTGGAAGACCTCAAGTACCCCTCTGCTTATCTCAAGGGGACAAGCTATCCTGGTTTGCCCGGGGACTCTTACCAGTCCGGCACAAAATGGGAAGGTTTCCCTCTGACTGAGGAGGCTGCCCATGCTTCTCCACTGGGTATAGTGGGTTGAAGAGTGTCCCCTCCAAAAGACAGGTCCAAATCCTAACCTCAGTACCTGGGAATGTGGCCATAGGGTCTACACAGATATAATTAGGGATCCTGCGGTGAGGTCATGCATGCTATAGGATGGACCTCAATCCCACGAGGGGTGACATTATGAGAGTGAAAGGCGGGGGAAGATCTGAGACACAGACACAGAGGAGGCCCCACGAGGATGGAGGCAGATATGGAAATGATGTGACCACAGCCAACGAAAACCTAGAGCCCCCCAGAAGCTGGAAGAGGTAGGAGTGGGTCCTCCCCTGGAGCCACCTGTCGGAGCACAGCCCTGCCCACACCTTGATCTCAGACTTCTGGCCTCCAGAACCTGGAGAGAATGCACTTCTGGTGTAAGCCCCCGAGCTTGTGGTCATCTGTTGCAGCAGCTCCGGGGGACTCCTACACCAGGGGAAGGCGAATCTCCCTTTCTCCCTGTTCATCCAAGCTCCCGACTCACCTTCCACTCTGCCAGTACCCTCCATGAAAGAACAGACAGAAAGGCGAGGCTGTAAGACAGACAAAGGGCGTGGGTGCCGAGCCTGGGGGCCAGCCGACCCCTGTCCCGGGACCACCCGCCCGGCTGCCTACCTTCAGACACTCCCTCGGGAAAGTAGATGTCCAATTTTTCCCCTTCGCCATCTCCATAGGGGACGTGCAGCAGGCTCTTCCTGGTGGCCCGGGCCTTTTTGGTGGCTGTGTCGAGAGATGGACGAGTCACCATCAGCACAACCTGCAGTAATTGCTATTTCATTTAAGGTAGAAACCTCTGTGCTGAAAGCGCCTTTGGGTGGAGCGGTCGGCTCCAAGTGTCGGGCCTTGTGGGTGACACCTTGGGACGCTTCCCCAAGTCCTCATGATCATCTGTGCTGGGTTCTGCAGCATCTCACGGGTGTGGAGTTACAAAGAGACCAGACTGGCCCATCCCAGTGGGACCAATACTGTCCGCCAAAGTCTGTCTGGCAGTGAGCTGTGGCTCTGAAGGGCGCCGCTCTGACCATTACTTCATTACATGCTTATTGTGTGCATGACACTTCGCTTCATGCTCCAGGAAGTATAAACTTCCAAGCATCCGGGAAAACAATCTTCTAGGGAAGCAAGATATAAACTCATTTCCAATAGGGGCACCTGGGTGGCTCAGTTGGTTAAGTGTCTGACTCTTGGCTTAGACTCAGGTCATGATCTCTCGGTGATGAGATCGAGCCCGGCATTGGATTCTGTGCTCACTTGCGGAGTCTGGTTCAGACTCTTTCTCCCTCTCCTTGCCCTTCCCTGCTCAAGTGCTCTTTCTCTCTCTCTCTCAAATAAATAAATAAAGTGTTTAAACTCACTTCAAATGAATAGATAATGAGACGATATGAATATATGATTGAGTGCCATGAGGGGAGAAGTCAGAATGATGTGAAAACCGGCTAGGACTTGGATGGGAACAAAGGAGGATGGGCATTGTTAGGGAAATAAATACCATGGGCAATGGGGTGGGGTGAGAGGGGAGTCTATATGTCACTCTGTATCCCAGAGTGACCCAAAATCAGTGGAAAATCAGGCAGCTTAGTTCCCTCCAATGCTGGGCACTGGAGAGTGTAAATTGGTAGGCTCTTCTGAAGGGCAGCTTGGAAAAATGTATCAAAGCCCAAGAAGATCATACTCCTTGATGTCTAAGTCCTTATCCACATAGTTTTTATAAGGAAATAATCAGAAATATTCCCAAAGACTTGTTTTAAAGATGCCCACAGGGGCGCCTGGAGGACTCAGTGGTCGAGTCTGCCTTTAGCCCAAGGCGTGATCCTGGAGTCCCGGGATCAAGTCCCACACTGGGCTCCTGGCAGAGTGTTTCTCCCTCCGCCTAGGTCCGTGCCTCTCATGAATAAATAAATAAAATCTTAAAAAAATAAGATGCCCACTATGTAAAGCTATTTTATAATAGCAAAACACCTGACACTGCCTAAGTGACCTGGAATAATAGAAGGCTGCTCAAACTATGGCCTATCCCTCTTCTCTGCTTTATCATGGAGCCTGGCATCCACCCCCATGATATATTTTTCACATTGTTTGTTGTCTGTCTGTTGCCTTCACTGTGAAGACAAGGGCTTTGCTTTGCCCACCTCTGTACACCCAGGACCTGATAGGTAGTAAACAATTAAAAGAAAATTCTGGGGATCCCTGGGTGGCGCAGCGGTTTGGCGCCTGTCTTTGGCCCAGGGCGCGATCCTGAAGACCCGGGATCGAATCCCACGTCGGGCTCCCGGTGCATGGAGCCTGCTTCTCCCTCTGCCTATGTCTCTGCCTCTCTCTCTCTCTGTGACTATCATAAATAAAAATAAAAAATAAAAAAAAGAAAATTCTGTGATAAATTAATATTTCAACAAGCAGTGCTGGGCCAACTGAATATCCAAACTGGAAAAAAAAAAAGTTTCTTGATCTCTACCTCATACCACACACACCAGATCAGTTCTTATGGATGATCTAAATGTGAAAGAGAAGACAACAGAGATCTTGGAAAAAAGCACAGGAGATCTTCATGATCTTGGGAGAGGCAAAGATTGCACAAACAGGACTGAATGTACTAATTGAAAAGGAAATGGAGGAGTATTTCACGGTGTAAACAGTAAAAGAGGTTGTGCAAATACCACGTTGCATTATCAGTGTGATATTTCTGATATTGAAATTGGTAGGGAGAGACATGATCCTTGGATCCATGTCCCCAGAGGTGCCCAGGTCCCACCACCCTTGGTGGCTATGGTGGTGGCCCCAAAATGAAAACAGTGCTCCTCTGGGCTGCACGATCCTGCCACTCCAGGATGGGCAAACTCAGTATGTAGAGATGGGTTGTATGAAGTGTGTTTAGGGAAGTATGCATAAACTTAAAATGGGCTGTCATTTTGGCTGGACCGTTCAAGGCCAAGAGCAACAAAAATGATGGTAGATGCCAAGTTTCCCCCACGTCAGAACCAGGGACCAGGCTGCCTTTGCAGGACAGGCAAAGCGGCTGCAAAACCAGTTTTGCCATCACTGACCATGTCTACTGACCACCCTCCTCCACCCCTACCCAACCAGTTCTTGGAATGAAGGGACAGATAAGGAGAGGTTTCTTAGGAGAGAGATGTGGCATGCTATGTGCTGTGGGCCCCCCACTCCCTCTCCTGTGTAGGGGTGGGGGTAGACTTCCCATCTCCTGATACTTCAAGTGACCAAATGCTCAGAGGGCCTGATGTGTGGACTCGTGTAAGGTTCTAATGACCAGGGACACCTGGGTGGCTCAGTGGTTGAGCGTCTGTCTTTGGCTCAGGATCTGATCCTGCAATCCTGGGATTGAGTCCCGAATTGGGCTCCCTGCAGGGAGCCTGCTTCTCCCTCTGTCTGTGTCTCTGTCTCTCTCTGTGTGTCTCTCATGAATAAATAAATAAAATCTTAAAAAAAAAAGAAAAAGGGTCTAATGATCAGAACAAAACGGGCTCCCCAGGTGTCCATGTGCCACACTGGGCACAGGCCACTCCGCAGGACATGTTTACCAGGACGGATCTATTAGAGACTTCCAGCGAATCAAACATATTGCATTTGTGATTATAACCTGAAGTGTTTAGGGGCTCCTGGGTGGCTCCGTGGCTTAAACATCTGACTCTTCAACATGGGAATTTGGGGAAGACACAAACATCCACAACAGCTCATGCACCACCCAAAAGTTCTGGAGCTCTACAATATCAACTCTCCCCTGCTCACCTTCCTCTAGGGGCTGACCCTGATCACCCAAACACCCACCGTTCACCATCCCTCTCGCCCGCTTCCAGAACACTTGGCCCTTCTAACAGACAGAAGCATTACTTCTGTCTTATGTTCATGGTCTATCATCTCCCTCTCGCCCCATTAAGAAGCACAGGGAAGGGCAGCATAGAGCACACAATCAATGGCTGACATTGTGATAATGTTGTATGGTGACAGACAGCGACTATACTTCTCATGACGAGCACGGAGTCCTGTACAGAGTTGTGGAATCACTACGTTGTACATCTGAAACGAATATATCATTGTATGTCACCCATCCTTCAATACTAAAATAAGAAGAGAAAAAAAGAAGAGAAAAAATAAGAAGATAATAAAAAGAGAAGAGAAAAATAAGAAGAGAAAAAAGAAAAACAGGGGGTTGTCTGTTTTGCTCACTGAAATATGAGTGACCAGCACATGCCAGCACCCAGGAAAAATTCACTGAATGGATCAGCACATGATGAAGCAACCCTCTGCTGAGAGGCATCCCAAACAACTCTGCCATGAACAGTCTTGTGCACACATCACACTACGTGCAGGGGCCTGAAGAAAGCCCTCTCAGAGTGGGATTTCTGGATCAGAAAATTTGTCATTTTGAGGCCATTGCCTACTGCCGTCCATGGGGCTTTGCCAAGTGCCCTCCTACCAGCGTAGGGTGAAGAGGTTTGTGCCTGACAAGCGCATTGATAGAGGGGGTTCATCAAAAGATTGCAATTTATTTTTCCCAAGAGTTCTTAAAAGCATGCATGCACTGACTAGATTCATTTTGTGCCGGAACTAAGAAAAAGACCATGAAATTTATGTTCTAAATCGAAGAGCAATTCAGACCAAGCAGCTGTAGATATTCACTATCACGCACATGTCTCCCTTAGATATTAAAAAAAAACTCAGGTGACCCTGAGAAAGAGGGACTGCATCTCTGCAGGAAGTCTGCCCACTGGTTGGAAGGCAGCTGGGTGCAGGGACCTCAGCCTCCCCCCAAGTGTGAATACCACCAGCCTTCTAGTCCTTGAACCCCAGGCCAGGAACAAGGGGGGCTTCAATGAAGAAACCATATTAAAACTTCCTTTTTTGATAATGCAAAAATTGAGTTTCTATTATTTGCAATCAAAAGTGTCCACACTGTTAGAGACAGAAACACCAAGTCCATGGACACATCCAGAGCATATGTCAGGGGAATTAGGGAAAGTGGTGGCCGGAGCTCCTAGAGACTTACACAAGCATGGGGCAGGAAGACTAGACAGTCCCAGAAGGCTGAAGACCAAGGGTTTATTACCTGCAGTGGCAGCAGTTTAAGAGAAGGCAGGGTCCCCTCAGCCACCCTCTAGTTAACAAGAGGTGGTGGAATTATTGATGGTTTCATTTTTAAAAACCCTTTTAGTAGGCATATGCTCCTTTTGTAATAAGATAAGAACTGTTACCTAAAAACAGACAAGATGGTGCAGAACAGAGCTACTTAGTGTGGTGTGTGGGCGCCGGGAGCCCTACCCTGTCTGCTCCTGGTCCATGATGAGCTAAGTACACAAAGCAAAAGTGAGCATTTAGATTATACGTAGTTTCATAGAACAGCTTTGTCTATTGGACTTAAGAAATCGGGGCTTTCAAACCAAAACTTGTACACGAATGTCTATAGCAGCCCTATTCACAATTGCCAAAAGGTGGAAACAGCCCAAATGTATGTCAGTGGATGAATGGATAAACAAAATGTGGTATGTTGGGGATCCCTGGGTGGCTCAGAGGTTTAGCGCCTGCCTTCGGCCCAGGGCGTGATCCTGGAGTCCTGGGATCGAGTCCCACATCGGGCTCCCTGTGTGGAGCCTGCTTCCCCCTCTGCCTGTGTCTCTGCCTCTCTCTCTCTCTCTCTCTGTTTCATGAATTAAAAAAAAATATTTTTAAAAAAATGTGGTATGCCCACACCACAAGGGCATGAAGTA